GAGGGATCTTAAAGCCCTCTGCAAGATGTTTACACATCTACTGGTAGAAAGTGCATGTATGTTTTTTTATTTCTCAAGACCAAACGGAGATTCTCCTCTTACCTTTGCAAGGTTTTCTAACCTGCAATTTCCCCTTTTTTCTGTGGCATTTTTTCTACTGCACTGCATTGACTGAGAAGACTTCACAGGGGCACCCCATTTCATATATGGAGAAACGAGGCTGGGTGTGAGCTTAAACGTAAGAAAATAGAAAACTCCCTCTGCAGAGTTTAAGAAGGAGAGAAACATAAAAAGATGCCCATTTGGGGGGTGCTGGGATGTGCTTCCTTGTTTTGGGCAATGCCAGCCACGATCATTTAGTTGAATGTGTCCTGTGTATTTAAGGAAGCTTAAATGTGCGGCGCTCGGGCCGCTGCTCGAGCTTAGCGGTGTGGTTACAGCACAAAGTGTTGCTCTGTGAAATACCCAGGCCCTTGGCCCGTAGCTGAGCGGCCGGGACGCGGTGCAGGGCTGCAGCAGGATTTCCCAGTTGTGCCTTTAAGCCAGCCAGAGGGATGTTAACTTCCAAAACAGGCTGACCAGAACAGCTACACCTCATGGCAGAGTGTGCAGTGCTTTGTGTTTGCTGCTGCATTACCAGCCTGCTGCTCGTTTAGCAGTTGTTTTTATTTTTTTTTTACTTCTTTATTAGAAAGCTGGTGTTTCATAGGACAAGGCTATATATAGACAACTGAGATGTCTGGAACAATTTAGATGATGCCGAGTGTGATCAGGGCCCCATTAATTTTCTACGTAGGCGTTACAGTAATAGCTGGGATTACTACTCAAAATCTCTCAGTTCTGGTTGTACTGATGAGTGTTTATTTTTTAGCTTGGATTAACCAAAGGAGTATGTGATTATAGAAAATAATAATGGTTGCATGAAAATACCTAGTTGGGAAACAGTTTTAGACACTATTTTATTTTGCCTTTAGGGCAGGGCTTCTCCCAGAGCTGTCCGATACAAACCAGCTTCCAGTTCAAACAGCGCTGCCTTTGCCTTGGGGCTTTCAGAAACACTTGTATATCCTTGTTTTCCTGGGATGAGAGAGCAGGAAAAAGTCCTGGCTTTCAGTGAAAGAAGGATGGATTGCTTTGGGGGAAGAGATGAAGGGAAAGATTAAACTAATAGAAAAGGCTATTTCCATGGCCTAACATATGGATGGAGAAATCGAGTCTTCAGCATCAGCAGTGTGAAGCTGATCAGTAGTCCTGGCAATGATTTTCCTTCCCTGTTTTCCATAGAAAATTAGTGACTTTTCCAAAAGTGTCTGCTTTCTTTCCATGATTTTTTCCAATGGAACAACTTGGCAAAACTACTGAATCTTCTCTGGGAGATCACGTTTCAATTTCAGATTGAACGTTTAGGTTGAAAATATGAAACCTTTTATTAGAGATTTCAGGGGAAGAGAATTGACTGTAATAACTAGCTTTTAATATGTGTGTTTAAGTTTAAGAAAGAACTTGTTATGAATAGCTTTGGGCACTCTCAATAATTACACACTGCAACTTTTTATTTTAAGTACTGAGTGCTTAGACCACATTAAAGAGATAATGTCTCATCTTGTGAAATAGCTCCCATTTATGTGGCCCAGCAGACTCGGAGCCCCTCTCCAACTGCATAAATAGAAGAACACGGAGCAGTACAGCCAGAGCAGGCAGCACACGTAGGAGCCTCCGCAGGAGCGCGGAGCAGGGAGGCCGGCAGAGCCGCAGGGTGAATGGAGCGCCGTTTCCTGACACGCAGTCCCACGGATCATCTCGTGACTATGGACAGAGCAGACACGATTCCAGAGCCTCTGCACAATGTATGTTTTGATAGGGTCTGTTTGAGAGAGGCCCTTCATGGGCATGTTTTGCTGGCAGGGATCGCAGTGTAGCTGCAGATACGGTGCAAAGCCGGGCTGCTGCCGCTGCCAAAGCCCGTGGTGCTGCCTCTGCCGGAGGCATCGCTGCCGTCCCGCTCGCCGTGGGTCCTGCAGCCCGAAAAGCACCGCAGGGAGCGTCCGAATTTGAGAAGCCAGAGGCCACCTTCAAACGTGCTGCTTTCTCCATGAGCTGGGCCAGTTTTTGCATTTCTCCAGCCTTTCTGACTGCTGCAGAACCAGCTGGTCCTCCCAGCCTGCCCTGAGGGTTCAGTTCATGGGCCCGTGCAGTGACCCTGGTTAAAACTGCTTCACCACACTCGGTTGCTGTAAAAGTAGCATCTGGCCCAAAGCAGTGCGTGTCCTTGGACGGGCCGAGGCTGATCCTGCCCGAGCGGGCGCTGTGGTTGTGCTGAGGTTTCTATTTGACTTGCTGGGGAATCTCCATCAGTGTCGTAAACACCGAGGTGATGGCTGACACTGCTTCCTACCTGCTCCTATTAAATCCTACAAGTGTAATGCTGAAAGGGACTGAAAGTGATGGCTAGAAAGTGAGAAGTGGTCCATATCTTTGCTAGGCCTGGGTTCTCCCCCGTTTCTGCACCGTGTTGCCCTTGAAGAAGTGTTGGGAGATCTTCTCCAACTTCTTTTTGGAAGACTTACCTGAGATCCTGAAGCCAGTCTACATGGAGTATAAAAAGAGTATAGTTAAATAGGTAAATCTCTCAACATGAGAAGTTTTAGTGAGGTAAATGGGGAGCTTTTTTTGCCGTTGTTAATCCAGATAGTGACACAGAATAAACTCTGGAAGCCTCTTCAGGCTGCTCTTTTTGCATGAGGTTACATTAGTAAAACCAGTTGTTTAAACTGGAAGATCTGTAGTTGTAGGCATGTATGTGTGTATATATACATACATACATATATATATATATATATTTCCAGATGAAGGAATCTGTTGAATAAGCAACTCTGAACATTTACAGGGCGTTTTCATGGAGACTTTAGGGCAGGGTTTCTTTAACGAGTGTTCTTCTAGCACTGAAATTGTGCAAAAGTCAGTGAAGAATGTAAGCTTTTCGGAGAAAATGCTTATGCCAACATAAACACAAATACCCTTTTGCAATATAATGTGCTTTTGTTGATAAAAGCGTATTCTTAGTATGCAGGAACACAGTTTACAGGAATAGCTAGATCAGCCCAAGGGTTTATGTTGTGATAACTGTGCATGGAATGAAAGGTGAAAACTGAGACACTGTTTATGGATGAGCCAAGTTGTGTGCGTGTTTTTTTTTTTTTTTTTTAATACCTTGCAGATGAGAAATAAAAGGCCTATTCCTATAAACACGTACGTGTGTATTTTATATATGTGCATGCCATGAGTTAGGTGCAGGTTTTAGTTCAACTTCTCGCCTGTTTCTTAGGCCAAGATTTGTCAAGACCTTCCCTTTCTGAACTTGACTTGTCTGTTTACTGCTGCTGTTGGGCCCCCAGCCTGGGGCCACGAAGCCCACGGCAGACACTGGAAGCAGGAAAATCCCGAGGTTGTTTCTGATGGCTCTTCTGTTCCCAGGCATTTGGGTAGCATTGGCGTTTGGTTATGAAACACGACCAAGGTGACACTGGCTTTCTGGACTGCTGTGTCTAAGGCAGAATGTCCTGGCTCCTTTTTCTTGGTATCTTCTCCTTTTTGATGATGTGGAAGAAAACCAAAATGTTCCAGCTGCATTATACAATTAAAAGCTTTTCCTAGTAAAATAAGAAGAGTGACTGTGAACACGTACTGTGACAGACCAAGAAATACCTGCCCTTACTGCCATCCCTCATTCATGTAATCGTGTTTTCCAGCTTGCCCGTTACTTTGTGTGCAGGTTCTTCCTTGAAATGAGAACTTCTGCTCGTGACCTTGAGTAGAAGGACCCCACTGCACAAGGGCACAGTCTGCCTCCTCACGCAGACTTGGAAGCTGTGATACTGTGGGGAAAATCCTATGTTTAACTCCTAGCAAGTTCTTCAGTAACTTGCAGAAATTGAAATAGCCATTTGTGTATCTGTGCATGAGAGCTGCCCTTCCACTCCCTTCCTTTCCTTGCCACCAACCCTTGGCTGTTTGTTGCGCATCCCCACCCTTTGCTGGAGAATTTCCCCCAGGTAACGCTGTAGAAATTACATTACTGCTGCAGAAAGGAGAAAAAAAAAAAAAAAAAAAAAAAAAAAAAAAAAAAAAAAAAAGGAAGGTTATTTGCATGTGCAAGAGATGACATTTACCTTCTAGCTCTGGAAGGATCTTAGATATCAGAGCCTTAATTAAAAGGTCAAACTCTTTTTAAGAAGCAAATATCTAAATATAATCTAAACTCTCTGTAGGTGGTCTCTGGTAACTAAGGCCTAACAATATGGACACAGTAATAGATATAGTAACTCCCCTAACATTCTTAAAATAGATTTATTTATATTTATTGGACCTGCAATGGCGTTATTGATAGGAGCTTGTTTGCCCTGACTTCCGACACTTGCTTTGCTTCTGCTGTTCCTAGCAACTTCCCAAATTCATGTCAGCAAACAGCTGTGCCACAATCTAGCCTATATGCACAGTGCATGATTTTAATGTGCATTTCAGTTATTTTTTGTTTTTTTTAATTGGTGAAAAGGTCTACGTTTTCAGGTAGAAACTATCAGATTTCTTTATACTGAGATCTGCTTTTCCTGCTTATTTGATGCTCTGTTTTGGCAAGCCATTTGCTGCCTGGAATTGTATTGCCCATGTGGAGATGGGAGCACGTTCTGGGTCCGAGGTCGATAAAATCTGATAAAAGTTGTAACCCCAACCTGCTGGGTACCAAAAATCTCCCTGGGTAGCACTGCGCAATTCCTTCATTTGGACATGACAAAGGTAGAATGGCCCTTTTCTCATGCAAATCTTGTGCTAGTCCCCAGAAACCTGAAAAACGCCCCCAATCCTTATGGCTTTTCCCCAGGGTGACTGTTTTGAGTGGCGCTGGCCTGCGCGGCACTTGCCTGTCCTTCCTGTAATCTGTAAGGGATGGGGATGGTATTTTTCAGCTGTCTCTCTGAAACATCTATTTTCTTTCATTTCAGGACAAACACCATGATGCTGCTCACGAAATTATTGAGACAATTCGGTAAGTGCTCGATGGAGACATGCCCCAAATTTCCCATGTGTTACTTTAGCTCAGTAAATGGGTATCTTGAGCCACAGTGCAACGGAGGACATAATTGTAAAGGAGAAATCAGAACTTTCGAGTTAATTTTCTAAGCTGAATTGATGCAATTGCAACACAAATCTGTAATTTTCCCTATCTTGCTTGATTTTTAATGTGGTAAATTCTGTTCTTGTGTAGACAGAATTAGGGACAGAGGCAGGACAGTATTAGGGACAGAGGCATCGGGTTTTCGCAGTTGGACGGTGCAGACACAGAGGAAATGTGAGCAGTATTCTACCTGGTCTCGAAACCCGAGCGGCAGCATCTCGCCTAGGAAACCCTGCTGAGGCTGCTTGGCTGCCAGCATCGCTTGCTTGGTCATTAGAGCTGCTAATATCACTTTACATGCATGAAATCGTGGTGTTTCGCCATGGTCTGCAAAACAGGTTTCTCCTGTTGACTGGAGAGAACATGGAATGCCAGGGGCTGCGGCTGCGGCTCGTTCCTTGGAGCGGGCGCCTTGTCCGACCGCGAGCCCTGGGCTGGGGCCACGTTTTGGGCTGCTTTTGGTCATGTCCTGTGCCTTGGTGCCCATGGCATCGCATGTCACTGTGATTCTTCTGAAAGGACCCTCTATGGAGAGGCTTGAACAAACACAGTGCTGAAGCCAGAGTCATCTGTGCTAGTGCTTTCCACGCTCTACCAGCTGACAGCAAAGCAAAACCTGTGCTAGAAGCACCTGGGCCAAAGCAGTGTTTCACAACTCGCCTTTAAGCATCACTGCAGTATATGCAGCCTCTTGAAATGCTTTCATGCTGCCTGTGTTTGCCTGGTGCAAAGTAACTGTGATGTGGTTGCGTTTGATACCGAGCAACCTTACGAAAGTTTGGGGTAAATGGGTTCAGAGGATTAGTTTGCTTTTCAAACCAGTAGTAAACAGCTGCTGCTGCCCACTGACCTCATTTAAGAGTTGCAGAGATTGAAGTAGTCACATTTTCAGGGAAATGGTAGATATTAGAAGAGGCAGCCTTAGATTTAAAACTTCTGTGTGTTTTTTTTTTTCTTGCTTACATCTTTAATCATTAGATTTTTGTTAAAAAAAATCTCATCAAAATATTGCACTCTGCGTTACTTTTTATGTTAGGTTAGCGTCGCATTGTGTATTTTTAGATGCTTTGAATATATTTGCCTCCTCGTTTTGAAGCTGTGCCATTTCAAGAGTTCTGTACTGCTGCCAATGTCTACGGGCATCTTAGTGCTTGTTCAACAGAAACCAGTACCAACTATTGCAGCTTCCAAGGAGCATTTGTGATTTCTGCCTTATTCCCAGCATTGTGGGGCTCTGTCGTGTCTGCTGCAGTGTTTTGTCTCTCTGTATAGCAATGGCAGTGGAGGGTCAAGACAGACTGCCTTAATAACCTAGATTGGAGAAGATGTTTTTATGGTGTTTCTTCTCTCCTTTCAGATGGGTCTGTGAAGAAATCCCAGATCTCAAGCTTGCTATGGAAAACTATGTTTTAATTGACTATGATACAAAAAGGTGAGAGGATTTTGTTTTTTCCTTTCTCTGTCGGAAAGGCAGACCAGGATGGTATATAATGAATCAGATTGTCACTGGTTATTCTTAGGCACTGTAAACTGGAGCTTTTCTTTTAGAACTGGCTTCAGACCCTGCAAAGTTTTTTTGGTAGGAAATGTGTAATAGAAATATTGGCAAAGGCTGTCGGATTAAGGACATAATTGGAAACTCCACACGGCAGAGAGTTGAGCTCTGGTGCACGTTGGAATTACTCACTGCAAAACAATGATTGGTATCTGTGCTCTTGGACTGTGTCCAGAGTTGGAATCTGAATGGCATTGAGGGTTCTACTTTTGTAGTAGCTACAAAGTCCTGGTTGGAAATCGTCAGGCCGGAGCTGCCTGTCAGCGCTGTGTCCTGCTCCTGCCGTCGGCGTAGGAGGTCACCCCGCCCCGTTTCTCCTCTGATTAGAGTTTGATGCAAGTGAGCTGCTATTTGAGTGGGGGGATAAATCAAAAGGCAGAGAGTTCACACCTCTCTGGGCAGCTGGAAGGAGTTTTATGATGCCTTTGGCTACGTGGGAATATCTAAAAACTGAAGATGAACGTGTAGAATGCGGCATCCACCTAGAGGCTGGGAGAGGCAGGTTCTGCCCCTGTGATATCCACGGAGAAGTTGGATGGTCTGAGTATTGGCTTGGTTGTACTGAGCCTGGAGAAAGAGATGAGCCCCAAGTTGTGATTTACAACCACCTCCCTAACTGCCCTTGTGGTTGTTGGATTTGTTCAAGGCTACAGCAGGACTAACTTTGACAACAGGGTTAGGGATGAACCTGCATCAGTTTCTCATACATCATTGGCCACTGCCCTGGGCACTGAAACCTTGAAAAGGGTCAGCAAAACTCCTCAGCGAAGGAGTCTTGTCTGGTGTCAGGGTAATGTGAGATTCCCAAGCAACTGAAGAGCCGCTTCCTTCCCATGGCCTCCATCTCCTCTCTGTTCCTTATCTGGGGATGGCCACAATTGAATAACCTTGTGTAACTCCTTGCCTTGGTCCTTTTGCTGCTGCCTTGTGGAATCTGATTATGTCTGATGTTCTTAGCAAAATCTTTTCCTCCCTGGCCTGAATCGAATAGTTTAAAAATCTTCTCAGCTTCTCTCATTATGTGACTGAGCAGACTGCCAGCCCATGCAGCAATCGCTGTGATTTTCTGTTGGGTTAAGTTTTACAGATTATGTGCTGGATCCGTCTACCTGTACTAAATTCCTCTGCATCTGAGGACCTGGAAAGGAGATAATGCACCAGAAGAACCCAAAACTTCCTTATAATCAGAATTTATCTTAAGTTCAGTCCTTTACCTATTGATAAAGGAACCTAAAGTTCAGTTCCACATTTTTAGTGCAAAATGGCACTTTCTTCCTTCTGAATATATTATATTGTGGAATTTATTGCTCATTTGTCAGGTATTGCTGATTTACTGAGGCTTTTTTTAAAGAAACTATACAATGATCTAAAAGTATGTGTAATAATATAGACTGCAGAAAACAAGATGCCTACTTAAAATTAAATACAAAAAAGAACTTTTACCTTCAAATCTCAGCTGCTCTTAGAGTGCTCTCTGTGTTTTTCCTCCCTTTGCAGCTTTGAAAGCATGCAGAGGCTTTGTGACAAATACAACCGAGCCATTGATAGCATTCATCAGCTGGTAGGTATTTACCTTTGTTATGCCATGATGTTTATCTAGCTGATATTGTGAAAAATATCCAAGAAATGCTGACTTTCTTGACACTGAACTGCATGTGATAGCGTAGCTTCGGCACCAATACTTCTACATTACTATTTGATTTTCTGGAAGCTAATAAAACTTACATTAAGCCTTGTTTTCTTGATAGTATCTAGGCAATCAGGGATTTTTTTTCTTTTCCTTTGGGATTGCCTTTCTTATTTAAAGAGAAAACTAAATTTACCGTTGCGGGTGAGGGAGATACGTAGGCTACTAATGTCAAATATCAACCCTTGGGGCGTCCTTGTTTGGACACTTTGAAATAGCTGGGCTGCCTTTGGACAAAAGGTTTCCCTGACCTCAGTGTGTAGACGTTTCTCGAGGATTTATAATATGGCTTTTCTTTCGTCTGTGGAAATCTCTGGCTTATGGGCTACTTAAATAATCCATCTGAACCCTCCTGTGTATTGTGGCAGTGATCCATGGCTTAAGAATTTCCTTTCTCTTCAGTGCAGCATCTCTGTTCTATGGGCTCGCTCTGCACAACTGCAGTGAAATGTCTCTTCAGACCATTTTAACAAGATAGTGGTTTTGGTTTTCTTACCCCAGTGTAATATTGAATAGGAAGAAATAAAACACGAGAAATGGATTAATTTTATTATTCTATTTAATTGTGGAATTACAAGTAGATGATGTTCTCTCTAATATTTGAAACAGGCAATGTTATGGCCAAGAAACTTAACTTTTTTGTCACACTTTGCTTCACTTTGGGGCCTACAACTCCCTAAAACTCATGTTTGGGCTTCTTCATTCATGTCTTTATCAACAGTGAAAAATTTGAAGCCCTTCAGCATTTGTAATCACTGTCTGAAATGTCTGCACATAGGCCAGCTATGGAAACTGTACTTGGATCTTAAGCAGAGGAATGCTTCGGAAGCATCCTGGAGTTGGCATCTGCCAGGAAGGTTAGGATAAAGGATAAAATGAATTTTATCTAAAGCAAAACCAGACTTAAAAAAAAAAAAAAAAAAAAAAAACTAGTAGCATTTCTATTTAGGAGAAAGTACTTAAAGAACAGAGCCTTGTTTTTCAACTATTTCCTGACGCTCCTATCTGAGTACATATGATCTCTCCCAATTAATGTAATAAAATAAAACAGTTTACGTATTGACAGTATAGTTAACCACTCTTTGGTGATGATCAGCAATTTAAAAAGCAGATAAATTCACTTGTCATCTACTCTGAATATATTCAATGCCTAGTTTTACATTGCCAGTGACTTTCTACATCTCTCACTACATCTTCCCCTTGCCACCCTCTGTTCACGCTGTCAGAGGTATTTGAGTTACCTGTTAGCTGATGTGATGCAGGCTGCAGAGCAGTCCCTGTCGCACTTCATCTTCAGCATCTTTTGCTCTTTTTCGAGCCTGTGTGTGTATTTATGTTCTCTTCCTGCTCTCTGTTTAGTGGAAGGGAACCACCCAGCCTATGAAACTCAACACTCGTCCCTCCAACGGGCTCCTCCGTCATATCCTGCAGCAAGTGTACAACCACTCGGTGACCGATCCAGAGAAACTCAACAACTACGAGCCCTTTTCCCCAGAGGTTTACGGAGAAACTTCCTTTGACTTAGTGGCCCAAATGATAGATGAAATTAAAATGACAGAAGATGATTTGTTTGTGGACTTGGGCAGTGGTAAGTGACAAAGAACTTGAAGGGTCTTTTTTTTTTTTTTTTCCTCTTTGCTTTTTCCTTTCATTCCAAAAAAAAACCACCCCAAAGTGGTAAACCCAGACTGCCGGTTACACTGCGAAGGAAGCACCTCTTCTAGTTCATCCCCCAACAAAGCTCTTGGTTTTTATGATAATACTAAGTGGACCAAACAAATAGTCTTTCCTGCTTTGTTAGTGAGATGGACTAGAAAAGAAATAAACGCATGTTGCAAAATCAGTCTCCTTCAAAAACTTTTAGTTTCCGTTGCTGTTGGTAGATACACTTGAAGAGAGAATATTAAAAAGGCTTCTGGAAAGACAACAACAGTGCATGCTATTTTTAAGGATTCAGGCATTTTCTGTTGATTGAATTTAGGCCCTTCATGAATGAAACTGTGATTTCCTGGCCCTTCCTGTGCCAGAGTGACAAGCTTGGCCTGTTATCTGAAAATCAATCAGCCACTCACCCTCTGACACACTGAAAAGTATGTCAGAAAAGACTTCGTAGTCAGCTTTGACAGCTCAGTAACCCACAACTGCATCACCTCCACCGCTTGGAGTAAAAGGAAGGAAGAGTTTCTAGTTGGTAAAGAAACCAGATATGACTCAAACGCATGTGGAACAGACGTACTGAGTAAGATGATGATGTTCTCGTTGTTGCTAAGATCCACTGCAGGGCAGGAAAAGAATAATAAGAGTTTCCCCTTTTCCTGGATCGGTCAGAATGTTTTGGATGAAGCATGTTTTGGTTTTGTGGCTGGTAAGATAGAGGGCTTTGGAGAAAAAGATTTTAAAATTAGCAACTTACTTAGCAACTAAACATACTCATCTGCTATGTTGTTGCCTTTTTCATACTTAATGTAGACCAAGTCAGGGGCCTTCAGCAAATTTCCTTCTCCTCTCAGTGGAACTTGGATCTTAAATTTCCTGTTGCAGTGACTTATGCACAAATGAGACACTGGCAGCATCAGATCTCATGAGCTGTTTTCCATCTGTAAGGGTTAAAAAAATTATCAGATACTGGCAATTGTTTGTGCAGGAAGGTCAAAGAAGATTGTATCTGAAATCTTGTAGTGTTGCCATTTATGTAACAAGATGAAGTGTGTGATCAAGCTTAAAAGTCAGGTTTCCTTGTACCCTGTACCACCAGAAACAAAATAAGGTATTTATTGCTACCCTTATTCTCACTTTAGTGCCTGGCTATTGACCAACAAGATAAAAATTTATAGAGCTTCAGTTGCATTTGAAAGGAATGGTTTAAATTCAGAAGTCTTTAATGTTTGGAGTCCTGAAGTAATTAAAAGCAGAACATACAGGAAAAAAAAAAGGAAGTTTGCTCCTAGTTGTTGACCTTGTTCTGATAGAGTAAATTTTTGCAGCTTGTCATGAAAGTGGGATTGAATGCAGTATGAGAATACTGTGGTAGTGTATTATGTCTGTCTGCAAATTGAATGTCTTCCCAATAATTACATGCATACGGCAGGGCTGATCCCCACCTGCATGTTGTGGCTGTGCCTGTTACTTCCATGTTGATGTCAGGATTAATATGCTGATTGCAGGGGGAGTTTATGGAGGTATTGAGCATAACGAGGCAAACAAATGACAAGACAGACAAGTTCTTGCAAAATTCAAAACAAGGGAAGACTAAATGAATAACTTACGCAGTATCCGTACGATTCGAGTGAATGCAGCTTCTTGATGTTCCCTTTTGTCTTTCTGTCCTTAAACAAGAGCTACTGGAGCAGCTGAGTCCCTCAGAGTGTTTTTTGCTCCGCACTCGTGCCCGGTGCTCGAGGTGAGGCCGGTCCTTAGCGAAGGTGCTGAGCGGTTCCCTCTGCAGAGACGTGCGCGTCCCTCTGCACGTGCTGAGAACCTGCGCCCGTGCAAAACGTGAAATAACAACAACAGGTCAGAGCGAAGTGACAAGGAGACGCTGCCGGCGCTCCCGCTCCGTGCGTTGGGCAGGGTTGGAGGCTGGATTTCCACCCCTTCAGTTACCAGCGTGGGGCACTCAAAAGAACACAAAACAGAGGGATGGTTTCTGTGCAGACGGGCTGTCCTCGCCGGTCCTTGGCGCAGCGCGAGCCCTGGGGTTGCTTGCAGCAGCTCTGCTGCTGGAGACAGCGCAGGCCTGCAGAGAACGCAGGCGACCACGCTGAGCCCTGTCCTGCCCCTGTTCCAGCGCGTGCAGGCTCTGCATCGTTTGTCCAGCCACAAATCGGATAGTTTTCCTTTTTTCTTTTTGACATAATCCAGAGAGATAAGAGAGAGAGAAGGCCGGGAATGGCACCTAATTACTGCTGCTTGTGTCTGACGCAAGTAGAATTTGGAGTGATGGGAAGTTCATACATTTTTAAATAAGCCTCACCAGGGTAGCTCTGCCTCTGCACTCGCTTTGAGGTGTGAACCCTGTCTTTTTTGCCTTGATTCTTTAGAGTAATGCTTGTTCTTGAATGTGCTTTGAATATTCTCAGGCTTTAAGTGCTGCCTGTCATGGTGAAGGGTCGTATAAATAATGCTAGTTACTTATAGGCATTTTTGTCGTTGAATGGTGTAGCAGAGTGACCAGACAGGATTTGCTTTGAGATGTGAGGGGATTTCTCTAGGTATTGTTTCAATCACTGCAATTAAATAATGAAACACAGTGTAAAATCCAAAAATTTTATGGAATGCATTAAAAACAATTGGACAAAAATCAGAAAATCCAGATATCCTGAAGCCTCTCTGTATCCTTAAAAATGCACCCTAATATTTAATTATAGTAGCTGCTAATGTTTATCAATCTAAACATTGCTGTAAATGTTTAGCTTTATGCTACTTATTTAAAAGCTCTTTTTGTATGCAAAAATATAAAATGCAAAACTATAATACTAGATTATTTCTTGTCCGTAAGAAAGAAATTCAGTTGCCCTGTTTACTTCATGGTCCTTTTACTGAAAACTATGTGCTTCATATTTCATGTAACTGTGGAAAACAGCACTTGGTTGAGTGTAATGCACTTTGCCTTGCATCTTTTCCGTTGAGGAGAGACCCAATACGAGAACCGGGAGGTCAAACTGGGTATCCGAAACTCTGGTCCCGGAGTTCCCTTATGATTCCGCTCTGCGTTTTCCTTGTTGGTGCTTGGCCTTTGCTCTGGATCCTCTTGCCAGGGTTTTTATGCGGGTCCTTCGGCTCAGGCTGTTCCTGCTTCTCCTGCAGGTGTGGGCCAGGTGGTGCTTCAGGTGGCTGCGGCCACCAACTGCAAACATCACTACGGTGTGGAGAAAGCTGATATTCCAGCCAAATACGCTGAGGTGAGTGCTCTGGGCTGCCCTCAAGTGAAGGGTGAGTGCAATTTGTTTTTTTTTTTAATATATATGTATATGTATATATGTTTTATTTATATATGTGTGTGTGTGTAAACATATACATATGTGTATACAAAATATGTTTATATAAATGTACACACATATGTGTAAATATGTTATTATATATGCACATGTATATATACAAACACACATACTTGTACTAATGGTGTGCCGTTGGGGGAACACAAATAATCAATAATCAATTCCAAGGAAAACCTGGAAAGCAAGTAAAGAACTACAAGCAAACAGTAGAAGTTAGTCAAGAAGTTTCCTCTCTGCACTGGACTGAGGCTTACCCTCCCTATCACTAGAATAAGCTGACGCCAAGCAGACTAGAAAATTATAGGTTGTAAAGCAGGAGAAAAAATCCCTGAACTTCATTTTTGGTTATATGGGTTAAAATGTGTAAACGCAGTGGTGAAGAGGATCAGACAAAGATCTAAAATTCCCATGCTCTCCTCTGCTGTGACCCAGTGGAAACTTCCAACTGGAATGTTCTCTTCAGTCCCTTTGAGTGAGTGTGGTGGTTGTTTTAGGGACTGAGTTGCAAGGCCTAAAGTCCTGTTCTGTTTAATAGTGAACTTAATGCAATTATCAGTGTTCAAGAAGGAAGGATAAAACTTGCCTTCACTAATATCCCTTCATATCCCTCTGTATAAACACGAGGCTTCAGTAAAAAAGAGAACTGGGTCAGTACAAAATACAATTTCTTTATCCACTAATTGAATCCTAAGGATGTTAACTCACGGGATCCTTTTGGCTTTGACAGACGTGCATCACCGTCCTGTAGCTCTACCGGGGGAACAAAACGTGCCGCGTTGTCCTTCCCGTTGGGTGGGGATGGCCTGTCGGGTTTAACAGCTCAGCAGCTGCTGCCGTTTGTGACGGGGGAGCTGCCCGAGCAGCGATTCCCTGCAGCTCCTCTGCCCCTGCTCCGTGTGCGGGACCCCTTTCCCCTGCTTCTTGTGGCAAACACTTGTGGCAGGGATCAGGTGAAGCTGCTGGCTAAGACTTGCTGTGATAACCGTGTCTCTGGCTACTATGGCGGTTAATGCAGATGGCCTTGGAAAGCTTCAGCTAAAAGTGGAGAATCAGAATTCTTTTTTTTCTAACTTATCTTTGAAAAATTTTCAGAATGAAAGTTCATGCTGAGTATGAAGCTATTGAAGCTCTGTGTGAATTGTCCCATAAAACTCTGGGCAGCTTTTGAAATCTGAAGACTTTTAAAACATGTTTGTCCACACAAACAGTTTCACTGACCTGCCAATGAAGGTCTCCCGCATCTCTGGATTGGAGGAAAATGGGAAACCAGAATTCTTGCCATGCTTTTCTCCATTGCGTCCCTTCCCTGTTACCTCCATATTTACCTCCTTCATTTGTAAGGTCAAATCTTAACCAAGACAGAAGGATTTTTTCACTCTTCCAAGGGGCTCAAGTTCTGTTTTCTCACTGCAGTATAAGGTGCAACTTTGCCTCCAGTCTAAAGTTACGGCTCGCACTACACAGTCTCAGTGTAGGTAGCGAGGGACAATATTTTGTAAATACGGAGGGGCTTGTTCATAAGGCACTGAACTCTCTTGATGCCTGGGGTTTTGGGCTCCTTTCTCCCTGTATTTGGGCAGTGGGTAATGGGTGCCAGTTACCTGCTTTGGCAGCAGGGAGCCTTCTGTCCTCTGTCACCCAGGACTGCCTAAACGGACTCCCTGCTGCTCTGGCCAGGATGCTGCTCCCTCTATTTGCCATCGCTTTGCGTGTCACCTCCTGCTTTCTCATTCGTCTCAGCAGACCTGTCCCTGTCCATTTCCTCCCTTGCTCTCGGTGCTTAGACTGGGCATCGCTTTGCGTGTCACCTCCTGCTTTCCTTCTTTGCTCTCAGTGCTTAGACTGGGTTGCTCTCGTTGCTCCTCCTCGCCATGGGTTTGCGTAGCGCAACGTGGGAGCTGCCTTAGGTTGTGCCATTTTTAGTGCCGAGGCAACTGGGATTACATTTCTATAATACGTAACTTTACTGAAAAGGGGAGGAAAGAGGAAGATGCCAGTTTTGAATTGGCCCAGGTGAAGTAAATTTTTTTCTTTGCAAAAAAGAAACCACAGTAGATGCCATTAGATAGGCAAACAAAAATGTCTTGTGGATCAGTGATCCCTGTTGCATCTCTTTTCATTGCAGTGTAACTTATAAAACAGGATGTCCTAATAGGTGGTTTTGTTTTTCTTTCCTTTCTAGACGATGGACAGAGAGTTCAGAAAGTGGATGAAATGGTATGGGAAAAAACATGCAGAATACACAGTGAGTGAAATTCAACTGAAAATCTTTGTGCTCCATACTGATGTACAGAATTTGTCAAGTCCTCTTCAGCCCCTGACCAGCCAAGCAGCAGTAGGAGTCATCTGCTGCTTGGCTTTTATTTCCAGGGGTGGTGTTTGCTAAGACATTCTCCCAAGTGACCTCTCTTTATCTCACTTGATATTTGATAATGTGTTTTGGGGAGTACGTCAAGGCTTTTCAGAAGTTTATGGAGGGTTTTACTTTGCTAAAACATTGTCATTCATGGAATGGGGCTGCCATATGTCTTCTCTTTCTGGGGCAAATCTTCTTTTTGGGTTTCTGAACCCAAAAAGCAGACGCTTGTCTTAGCAGACACAATGCTGAAGCTTTGGTTCTGCAGGCAGGGGGAAGGTGGATCATTTGGGACAGGCTCTGAAGAGGGTGACAGGTTTGATGGGGGTTTCAGCTTTGGGGAACATGGGGTGAAGTTCTGGGTTGGCTACAGGCATTGCAAGACCAGTGCATGAGACTCCAGGGCCTGTAGAGGGTAGATTTCAATTGGAGGGAAGGAAGGGGCTTGTGGTCTTGGGAAAGATGGTGAATGGTTTAGCTGGAAAGGATTGGCATAATTTTGGAAAGAATTGGGGTTGTGAAAGTGTTTGGGGGTGGAACTAGAGCAGGAGTCAACACAGGGCACCTGTGTGCCTGGAACTAGGAAGTCCTGTTGGGACAGCTCTCCCCTTCTGCCAACCCTCTGCAGTCCCTGTGGTGTTTGCCACTCTGAAAGGATGGCCTGAAGCGCATGCATGGTCACATCATAGTGTTTCGTGTCATTCCTTCCCCTTTTCTGTCCTTTCTTAATCGTCATTAAGAAAAGCTGCTCCCCTAATCCCCACTCGCCTGCGAGCAGATGTTTGCAATCACAGTGCACCAGCAGCTCACTGAGGATTTTAGTAGTACTTGTTCTTGTCTCCTGCCATTTCCGACGTTGAGGAAGGAGGCTGCATGGATCAGTGGTGAACCCTGCTTGCCCAGAGAAGCCGAGGTCCTTTCCTGCTCGGAAGCTGCAGCTAGGGATGGGTGCTGAGGTGCAGGGAGCTTGAGGATCTTCGTTTCCGTTGTGTTTGTAGGAGCACGTTCTTGAGGTGCCGTTGGAGCCATTGGGACCGCGGGGCTTCAGCATCCCCCAGGGCAGTGTGTGATGGCACGGCATCCACGGCCAGCTGTGCCTCAGGTTTTGTGCTTGAACCAAGAGATGCTTTTTAGTGGGCTTGTCTTGAAAGGAAGGGTGCTACCGTCCTCCCGTTCAGCAAGCAGGAGGCTGGAGCAAGGTGACAGTGCCACCTCCTCTGTGTCCTTTCTCCCTAAAATGCTTTTATGGGATCACTTGCGTGTGCTCAGATGGATGCCGGGTTGTGCAGGATCGTGCCTAGTTTGTGGCAGGATTGATACCAGGCTGCTAACTCTTTCCTGCTGCGGGAACACTGCGCGCGCTTTCCTTTTCATGAAGGGGCCATATGGCATTTTTCCATTGTGTCACCCAGCTGGCATTACATGAAAGGAATCGTTACTGAAGATACTCTGCTTATGAGCTGTGTAATTTAAAGAATAGGAGAGGAACTTGGATGCAAATATTGAAAGCATATTGATTGCCTTAGGCAGCAAACATTTCCATATTGCGCATTCCACACGACAGAGTCTGGTGCTGTAGTGAAACAAAACTCCTTATTTTTCCTAGGTTCTTTGGCTTTTACAACTGTGTTTTGTGATGAGTGCTTAGTGCAGGTTTTTTCCCTTCAAGTGCGTGGCTTGCTCTTCGGGGGCTGTGTGTTCAGTACTGGCAGCACTTTTTGACTCAGCTGAAAATTGGTTTCCTCTCACTTCCTCACAGTGAGGCTTAAAGACAGAGTTTGGTCTCTAATGTGTAGACACACAAGGTTGGCTTTTATTTTGTCTTTATTGCTTTACCAAACAGGTTTGCATTTGCTTTCTGTTGCCAAGTGATAATGTTGCCTTTTTTTTTTTTTTAATTGCTCCTTAGACAGGCGACACCTATTTTTAGATAACAAACTTGTGTCATAACACAGCTAGAAGTCATTGGAAGGGGCAGGATTAAAAGCCTGGTACCTTCGTGTCAGTGCAGAGCAATTTTTTGTCTCTGCAAAATGTTTAATGAGGTCCCCAAATGCCAAATGTTGCAGACGGACAGAATGAGCACAGATTGAAATAGTCTGTGATCAACAGAGCTGAACTCCCAAATTCCACTCTAGTGTTTTAGGCAGCCATATGCAAAATAAATATTT